CCACCCCCACAGCCCCGTTTGGAGCAGCCCCCCCACCCCCCAGCGCCGATTTAAGGGGGGGATTTCGGAGCCCCTCTCCCATCGCCCCCTCCGGGGGCTCCCCTGGAGCCACCTCGGTGCCCCTTCCCTGAATGTTCCCGCTCCTCTCCGCATTTTTGGGGCTGTTTTGGGGTTTTTTGCCATCACAGGAGGAGTTTTGGGGTCCCCTGAGCTCTGTTTGCTCCCCCCTTCCCATTCTCCCGCTGTTTCCCTTCGGCCTCTGGGGGCTCCCCCAGCATCGGCGGCCCCACCGGGGTTTTGGGTCCTTCCCCGGGGTTCTGGATCCCTTTCCTGGGTTTTTGGGTTCCTTCCGTGGGATTTTGGGTCCTTTCTGTGGGATTTTGGGTTCCTTTCCTGGGTTTTTGGGTCCTTTCCCATGGTTTTGGGTCCCTTCCCTGGCATTTTGGGTCCCTCCCCGGGGGTTTTGGGTCCCTCCCTGGGGGTTTTGGGTCCCTTTCCTGGGTTTTTGGGTCCCTTTCCCATAGTTTTAGGTCCCTCCCCGGTGATTTGAGTCCCTCCCTGGGGGTTTTGGGCCCCTTTCCCATGGATTTGGGTCCCTCCTTGGGGTCTGGGGTCCCTCCCCTGAGTCTGGGGTCCCTCCTCGGGGTCTGGGGTCCCTCCCCGGGGTCTCAGCCCCGCTGACCCCCGCCCCTCGCAGCCCCACAGGGCAGAAGTTCCGCAGTAAGATCGAGCTGCGGCGGTTCCTGGGCCCCGGCCACGACCTCAGCAACTTCGACTTCAAATCGGGGCTGGAGCGGCCGGGCCCCAGCGGGGTACGGGGGGCTCGGGACCCGGGAGGGGCCCCGAAACCTGGGGAGGGGGCACAGAAACCCCCAAAAAACCCGGGAGGAGGAGGAGGAGGAGGAGGAGGAGGAGGAGGAGGAGGAAGGAATCGGGGGTGCGATGGAGAGCTGGCGCAGAAGGGGCTCCCCGGAATGAGGGAGCCCCCAAACTGGGGAGGGGGTTCTGGAAATGGGGAGGGGGCTCGAGGGGGTCTCCCCCCACCTTGTGACCTCCCCCCGGTTTCTGCCTTTCAGACCAGGAAGGGCCCCAAGTGGCGCCTGCCCCTCCCGGAGCCCCCCAGAACCTTCCAGGAGGAGGAGGAGGAGGAGAACGTGGTGGGCGGGGCTGAGATCGAGATGGCCCCGCCCCTTCAGCCGCAGTCCCCGCCCCCACCCGCTCAGGCCACGCCCATCCCCATCAAGGCCCCGCCTGTTCCTGTCCAGGCCCCGCCCCCTCCTCTCCAGGCACCACCGCTGCTCCTTCAGGCCCCGCCCCCTCCGGTCGAGGCCACGCCCCCAGCGGAGCCCCCCCCTCGCAGAACCCGGAAGCGGCCGCCCCTGGAGCCCCCCCAGGATGGGGTGGTGGCGTGAGTGGGGGATGGGGGGGTCCCCTGGGTGGGGGAGGGGTCCCTGGGGGGTTCCCCGGGTGGGGGAGGGGTCCCTGAGGGGGTTCCCCGGGTGGGGGAGGGGCCCCGGGAGCGCGGGGAGGGGGGATCCAGGGGGTTCCATGGGGAGGAATTCAGAGCGGGGGGGGGTTCCCTCAATGGGGGGGGGCTGGGGGGTCCCTGGGGGGTGTTGGGGGTCCCCCAGCCCCCCCCAACATGTCGCCCCTCCCCCGCAGGCTGTGTGCCGGCTGCCAGAGCCTCTTCCCGGGGGTGTCGCTGCCCCCCCAGCGCCGCTGCCGCTGGCTCTGCCCTGACTGCCGCGGTGAGCTTCGGCCTCGGCTCCTCCTCATCCTCCTCCTCCTCTGGGGCTGCCCCCCTTCCCCAGCTCTCAGAGCTTCACCTGCTTCATCCTCTTCCTCTTCCGAGCCTTCATCCCCGGGGGTTTTCCTCTCCTTCTCATCCTCCTCATCGTCATCACCCTCATTCCTCACATTGCTTTAACTCCCCGATTATCATTTTATTGCTCTTCCTCCTCCTCTTCCTCCTCCCCTGATTTTCCTTTGTCTCCCTTTCTGTGTTCTGGGGGGGTGGGGGGAGGGGATTCCCAAATGATTTTGGGGAGGGGGCTCCCAGGCAAGCTGGGGTGACCCCTCCCCCCCCTTCCTCCCCCCTCCCCCAGCCCAGAGACGCGACTTCAACCGGGAGCAGCGATTCTACAAGGTACCCCCGCCCCTCCCCCACCCGGGGGGAGGGGTGATGTCACCCCCCGAGTGTCCCCCCCCCGTTCTGGGGGTCCCCCGAGCGCTGACGCCCCCTCCCCACAGCGGGTGGGCTGCGGCACGTGCCAGGCCTGCCGGATCCCCGAGGACTGCGGCATCTGCAGCGCCTGCGCCCGCAGCCCCCGGCCCGGGGACCCCTCCCAGCCCGGCCGCACCCCCAAGTGCCTCCTGCGCCGCTGCCTGCGCATCGTCAAGAAGGTACCGGAACCTCCCGGTGTCATTGTCACACCCCTTGGTGTCACCATCAGCCCCC